AAGCTGTGGTACATATACACCATGGAATATTACTCAGCCATTAAAAAGAATTCATTTGAATCAGTTCTAATGAGATGGATGAAACTGGAGCCTATTATACAGAGTGAAGTAAGCCAGAAAGACAAAGGACATTACAGCATACTAACACATATATATGGAATTTAGAAAGATGATAATGATAACCCTACATGCAAAACACAAAAAGAGACACAGATGTACAGAACAGAATTTTGGACTCTGTGGGAGAAGGCGAGGGTGGGAAGTTTCAAGAGAACAGCATCAAAACATGTATATTATCTATAGTGAAACAGATCACCAGCCCAGTTGGGATGCATGAGACAAGTGCTCGGGCCTGGTACACTGGGAGGACTCAGAGGGATTGGGTAGAAAGGGATGTGGGAGTGGGGTTCGGGATGGGGAATACATGTAAATCCATGGCTGATTCATGTCAATATATGACACAGCCCACTACAATATTGTAAAGTAATTAGCCTCCAACTAGTAAAAATAAATGAAAAAAAATTAAAAATAAAATAAAAATTAAATGAAAAAAGAAAAGAAAAGGGCAACTTTCAGCAGAAAAATAAAGCAGTGTACACACCAGACATGTTTGACTAAAAAGTAAAAATAAAAACTGAGTACAAAAAGATATGTTTCTAATCTGTTTGTGATACAAAATCAGCATAAGCCAATAAAGCATATTGATCATGGGCTGTGAGGCTTTCTTATTTTTTTCTTTCTTTTAACTTTTGCTTTGTGAAATATTTTCTTAAATACTTAAAATGGCAATTGAAGCTGATATACTTTTGAAGTGTCATTTAAGAGAGAATTTTTGAAATTTAAGCTCTAAATGTGGTTAGTAGGGTGTATGTGACCAGAATAAAGACATTGGTGAACTTTTAGCTCATGATTAAGTTTTTACCTTCTTCCCTTAAATCTCACAATAAATTCTTTTCTTTTTTTCATTTTTCTATAATAGTTTTTTTTTTCTCCTCTTGAGCTTGTTTCTGTAAACACCAATCACTTGAAATTGAATATCCAGAGATCAGACATTTTGAGAATATGTCCTACCTTACTAAATTATATTAGTATAGAACATTCTAAGGGATGTAAGTTTGTGACCAACCTAGACAGCATATTAAAAAGCAGCGACATCACTTTGTCAACAAAGGTCTGTCTAGTCAAAGCTATGGTTTTCTCCAGTAGTTGTGTATGGATGTCAGAGTTGGACTATTAAAAAAGCTGAATGCCGAAGAATTGATGCTTTTGAATGGTGGTGGTGGAGAAGACTCTTGAGAGTCCCTTGGACTGCAAGGAGATCCAACCAGTCCATCCTAAAGGAGATCAGTCCTGGGTGTTCATTGGAAGGACTGATGCTGAAGCTGAAACTCCAATACTTTGGCCACCTCATGCGAAGAGTTGACTCATTGGAAAAGACCCTGATGCTGGGAGGGATTGGGGGCAGGAGGAGAAGGGGACGACAGAGGATGAGATGGTTGGATGGCATCACCGACTCAATGGACATGAGTTTGAGTAAACTCTGGGAGTTGGTGATGGACAGGGAGGCCTGGCGTACTGAGGTTCATGGGGTCGCAAAGAGTTGGACACAACTGAGTGACTGAACTGAACTTTTCCATTCAAGGCAAATGTCATCACTAATTACCACTAACTACTAAAGTATTATTACAGGTGTATCTAAACTTTAAAAATTATGATTTAGTTGAAATTTTCTTAGTCTCTAAGATTGTTTCTAAAAGTCATATAAAACTAACTCACTTTCATGACAGATTTATTAAGGACAGGTGATATATTAAATCCTTGGAAGTTATATTTTACAGTAAAGGTAAATTAAAACCTTAAATGTGTTCCTGGATGAACCCAGACTCAGCAAATAGCAATCAGGTACTGTTTAATTTTCCTATACTAGATAAATTCATCAAGACCCTCTGAGTCTCTCTGATAATTTTCCTTATCCCCCATATGTCTGACATTTGCTTCATTAGAATCAGGTCTCCTTACAATCATAAGGCAAACCACATTTTTACATTACAGATACAGGTGGTATTGCCATCTCAATATTTTAATCTGGAAAAATATATCTGCTGGTCTCTATAATGATACATTTGGGAAGTCAAATATCCTTAAAAGAAAAGTTTACTATAATAAAGACAGTCTAGTCTTTGCATACTTAAATAGTGAATAAAGTTTGGTGTGTATACACAAATTTAAGTTGTTTGTATGGTTCAGCTTAAAATTTATAGATTTACAAAAAATCAAGTACAGTAAATGAATTTTACCAAAAAAGTTATCTTGAGCATTACTGAGCCAATAGGGCATCAAGATAACACACTCATGACAAACAGATGATTTGCAGTCACAAAATTATGAAAGCAATTTAGGATGGGGTTAGGGGAAGGAGAGTTAATACACACTAGCAGTGGAAGTCTTCAAATTACCCTCTAAACAAGGCTGCTAATTGCTCCTTTCATCTCCTCTTGTGACCTTATGTTCCCTTAAAAAGAGAATCAATGGAGTATCACGGTTGGCAATTTGATGCAAGTTTTTGAGCCTACACAATGTATACTCTGGCTAAATTACATGCTGTTGCCATATATGGACTTCCCTGGTAACTCAGCTGGTAAAGAATCCACCTGCAATGCAGGAGACCGCGGTTTGATTCCTGGGTTGGGAAGATCCACTGCAAAAAGGATAGGCTACCCACTCAAGTATCCATGGACTTTCCTAGTGACTCAGATGGTAAAAACTCCACCTGAATTGTAGGAGACCTGGATTCGACCCTTGGGTTGGGAAGATCCCCTGGAAGAGGGCATGGCAACCCGCTCCAGTATTCCTGCCTAGAGAATCCCCATGGACAGAGGTGCCTGGCGGGCTACAGTCCATGGGGTCACAAAGAATCAGACACGACTGAGCGACTCAGCACAGCACAGCACTACCACAAAGTAGGCTCAGCTGCCCCACCAGTCAGTCCCCCAGCACTTATAATTTCCTCTATATCCATCAATATTCGAAACCTCCGTCACAATGCCCACCAGATTCTCTGCAGCTGCTTGCGGTTGCCTCCGCCACCCCCACTCCTGCTGGCACAGCTGCTGCTGAAGCTGGAATTGATGGCAACACGACTATGTTGAAAACCTCTGGCACAAATCTGCCTCAGAATCTACTAATCTTACAATGTCCACGGCTGCTACCCTTGTAGAAGTGTGGATATGCCACCTTTTCAAACGATGGGGGTGCTTCTTGTTTAGCTTCCACAAAAAGATCCAACAAATCTTTGGTCATATTTATGATTCTTTGGTTAAAGAACAAGCTGTCAAGGCCAAGATTTCCTACCCATCCTGGACAGTCAAGGCGATGCATATTTTCATTCAATATCATTCTTCTGCGGAGAAAGCAAATTAGCCAAGATGGCGAGTTCAGGCTGTCTTCCCCCATGTTTTGTAAATAATGACTATATAACAGCTGAGAGCACGTTTAGCACTGCGCGTGCCCATCACAAGGTACTCACTTGGTCACGAGCTACTTTATGCTGTCCAGATATACGGCCCCCACCTGAAAGTGGTGGCCTTTCTGCTGCATCACAGCTGTGTCTGCTGGGTCAGCCACAAGAGGAGAGAATACAGCATGTATACTGCTAACAGCTGCCGCATCAAACAGATGAGGATGCTGTTCCGGCTGCTGCACCAGCCGGGAGAGAATAAATGTGTCTGCCGTTCCCACAGCTACTTGAGTCCTCCTCCGGCCTCTCAGCTCACACCTTGCACACCAGCGAGCAGTGCAAACAGTGTGAAGAGCCAGACAACTGGCGCAGTGAGGAGGATGAAGAGCGATACGATCCTGAATATCAAAATTGATAACTTGTTTCCCATTGAAAATGTCCAGTCCTCTCGCTGCTACTGCTCTGGCCACTAGAATTGGGCTTTTCCCTAAGAGGAAGTCATGAAGCTTTCTTCATCATCTCTTTAATATCATTCTCCCTGGGTCCTGGCTCAAGCATATCCTTCATGGTGTAAAAATTCCTCCAGGGAATCTGTACCCTTTTTGGGCTCCACAAACACTAAGATCAAGAAATTCTTTCCTGATGCATTTGCTTATCTGACTCTCTTGATGTGATGTTCTCAAAGGTAGCTTCCCTGGTGGCTCAGATGGTAAAGCGTCTGTCTGAAATGCAGGAGCCCCGGGTTCGATCCCTGAGTTGGGAAGATCTCCCAGAGAAGGAGATGGCAACCCACTCCAATATTCTTGCCTGGAGAATCCCACAGACGGAGGAGCCTGGTAGGCTACAGTCCATGGGGTTGCAAAGAGTCAGACAGGACTGAGAGACCTCACTTTCACTTTCTCAAAGGTAGAACCAACATTTATACAACCAAAAAGATGTATTCATGACTTCATCAATAAATCATGAGCAAGTACCTATATTTCCTAAACATGTTTTGGTAAACTTCCTTCAATCAATGACATACTATCTTGTTGAAATATTCTATATATCTGAGCTTTATATTTCATATCAATATCAGGTTCACTTTAGCCAATACCTGATATTTGTGGAACTTTAATATTTTCTCTTTCCTTCATGTCTGCCATGCCTCAAGGAGTAGCTAACATGTCCCATCCACATTCTAAGCATCAAACCTGATAACCACTATCAGAATCACCATAATTGATGTGAGGACTATCTTCAGACCATTATGAAAAATTTCCGGCTTCCTTATAGATTGGTACTGCCAAATTTCTCTTGTTGGTGCTAATACCAAAGAGACTGGATGTTGTTGGCAGAGACCATACTTTGCATTTTCCTTCCTGGCCCTCAAAAACTCTCCTTGACCATCTGAATAAATCTGATTCAAGATCAGCAAGATAAATGCTGCGAGTTTTAGAAATGTTGTTTGAGTAGAAGACATCAAGAGCTTTCTTCTTCTTCTTCTTCTAATTCTCTTTCGTAAAATGAACAGCAGTTTTGCAATGGAGCCAAGTGAGTATAACAACAAATAAGATTGATGTTTCCTATGGTAATTTCTCCCATTTCAACATCAACAAAATTTTCAACGTGTGGGAGACAACTTCTGCCTCAATTGAAAGGTCATATTTCTGTTAATCCATGTTATATTTAGAAAAAAAAAGGTTCCTATTAAAAGTATTAACTTGGTGGAAATGGTTTTAACCAAACATCTCCATCTATTTGTCACTCCAGTGATTGTTTCCACCTTATTCAAATTTTTCAAAGCCACATCTGTCACCATGGCAACCAGTTTTGTCATAGACACCCCCTTCCTTATCATCAAACCTTCCGTTTTGTTCACTTCACAATCACTGAAGGATCTAGACTTCCCTCTTGAATACTGTGAGACTCAAAATGCTGCCTGTGTCCTTATCTTTACTAGAACTCCACCCTGAATTGTCTTTATAGTGCATAGGAACCTTGTTAGGCTCATGTTAGATCCATGAATCAAGGTAAATTTTGAGTGGGCAAACAGGAAGTGACAAGAGTGATCATTGACATTTTAAGAATCAGTGAACTAAAATGGAATGGAATGGGTGAATTTAATTTAGATGACCGTTACATCTACTACTGTGGGCAAGAATCCCTTAGGAGAAATGGAACCTTTCCCAATTTGGAACCAATCCATTGTTCCATGTGTGGTTCTAGCTGGTGCCTCTTGACTTGCATACAGATTTCTTAGGAGGCAGGGAGAAGGTAGCCTGGTATTCTCATCTCTTTAAGAATTTTACACAGTTTGTTGCAATTCACACAGTTAAAGGCTTTGACTTAGTCAATAAAGCAGAAGTAGATGTCACAAACAGTCAGACATGACTGAGTGACTGGACTGAACTGAACTGAACCCCAAACTAGACTTGTTTACTAATTTCTTTGTTGCTTGAGTGAGAAGAAATATAATACCTTTTGTGGCTCTATTTCCTTAACTGATATGATCCGTAGAATTCAGGTATGCACCAACAAACTGCTGGCCCAGAGGAAGTGAATTTTCTACCATCACAGGATCCATCCATAAAGAGTACAGAGAACTTGGAATCTCCCTCTGCTGCTGAGTATGTTTGATTAACAGTAAAGGTGCTCTCATTTGAGAACTGTGGCTCTCTAACATGTATAGAATTTTGTTCCAAAAAATAAGGTCTCCAGATATGTAACCATGCTTGAAAGAAATGTCTTAGAATAATTTACTATTCAAAAAAAATTATTATATTATCACTCAGTGAATATAAGTATGACTAAGAAAATTAATAAATGTGGAAGTTAATATTTTATATATTTTCTAAATAAATTTTAGATTAGTTAATTTAAAAAACCTCTTCAAATTGTTTCACTGATAATTCTCTAATCATGGTATCATTTCTGTTTAAGCATTATACTATATATTTCAGTCAGAAAGACTGATTGAGATTTTATAATTTCTTTTTCTTATTTATTCTATTCTGAGTTCCAGTATGACTTAATGGTCTATTCTTTGTGATAAGGAGTTAAGGTTTTGTCTACTAGGCAAAGAACTGTGGATTTCTTAATGGTCTGAACATAGCATAATGCCATAATATAATTGTACAAAGTCAAAACTATAGTTTTAGAGATTGGTTTGGATTTCAATTTTGATTACAAATGGGTTTATGTTGAATATTACATACAGTTAGAATTACTATAACTATGTGGATTTTGGAGTCTATTATATAAATAAATTCACAGATAATGCTTCTTGACATATTCAAGTTTAAATACTGACAAGTGCAGTGCAAATTCTTTACCCTCCTCTTTTAAGTATTGCAAGTAAAATACATGTGTAAATGCTACAGGTTAACAGATTTCCATAATTATAAATCTATAAATCTATATATATATATTTTAGGTTTCAAAATGCAATGAAGATAATCACAAGTCTAGTACAAAAGACATTATTAGTGATCTTTCTTAGATTATGCACAGACGAAGTATAACCAGTACTTTGTGCTTTTTGATCCTTTGAAATGAAAAAAAAAAAAAACAATTAAATTTTAAAAAGAACCGAATTTTTCAAGTTGCTAAAGACTTATAAAATACATATCCAAGCTATTACCTTACAGATAAAGAAATAGGGATCAAGAAGATAACTGACTTGCCAGTTCCAAGCTTGCAACCTAGTAACAAATTTAACAGAATAAGTTAAGATGCTTGATTCCTATGTCACTGAAACATTCTGTACAAGATACCACCTTTCCTTTTAAATTAGCATTATTTCACAATAAAGAGGTGTTTTACATAGATATTATTATTCTTTTAATGCAGCCTTCTCTTCTTACAATGATCACACCTTCTGGAACTGAAAAAAAAAAAAAAAAGATTTCTTCTTTATATTCTGAGTACACAGCTTTCCCAAACTCCACCTTATATGAAATTTTCTATCTCTACCAAAACCCAATGAATAAGAGAAAATGAATTTCTTCTCTTTCCCAGTTATTCAGATATTACCCAGAAATAATTAAAGCAAAAGGTTTCATGAGAAGATGAGGCATATGCTTAAAAATTTTGTGTTTGATGGGAATTTAAGCATTCTTGGTAAAGAATACTTAAGTATGGGAACGTACACAATTTCAACATACAGCTTTCCCCTAATGAAACAGAATTCCATGAACAGAGGAATCTGATTGGCTATAGTCCATGGGGTCGCATAAAGTCAGACATGATTGAGGGACTAACAAACACAGAATCTAAAACAAGAGGGGATATTTGTATAAATACATAAGTGATTCACTTTGCTGTACTGCAGAAACTTACACAACATTGTAAATCAACTATGCTCCAATAAAATTTAATTTAAAAGTTCAGTTCAGTTCAGTCACTCAGTCCTGTCTGACTCTTTGCGACCCCATGGACTGCAGGACGCCAGACTTCCCTGTCCATCACCAGCTCCTGGAGTTTCCCAAACTCATGTCCATTGAGTCAGCGATGTTATCCAACCATCTCATCCTCTGTCATCCCCTTCTCCTTCTGCCCCCAGTCCCTCCCAGCATCAGGGTCTTTTCCAATGAGTCAATTCTTCGCTTGAGGTGGCCAAAGTATTGGAGTTTCAGCTTCAGCATTAGTCCTTCCAGTGAACACCCAGGACTGATCTCCTTTAGGATGGACTGGTTGGATCTCCTTGTAGTCCAAGGGACTCTCAAGAGTCTTCTCCAACACCACAGTTCAAAAGCATCAATTCTTCAGTGCTCAGCTTTTTTTATAGTCCAACTCTCACATCCATACATGACTACTGGAAAAACCATAGTAATTGGATTAAATATGGCAGTACATGTTAAAAACACTAGTTTTCCCCTGATTTTGTATATGCTTCAATATAGCATGATTAAAAATGAATAATCAAAATATTTCCTAAGAAAAGTGTACTCTGGTAACTACAGAAATTGGCAGATTAACAAATTATTTTTATAATTTTAGGAGAGAAGCTCAAATGAGATAAACTTCAATATGTACTTTAGCTTAATTTTACATTCTGAAGCCTAAGCTGCCAAGTGAAATATCAAAACATTTCTCTTTATGATTATTAAATGGATAGTAAACTTTCCCAAAGCTGTACACTGAGGGATTTAATTGAGAGAGATTAGTGGTCCCTTGGCTCCTTGAATTGACTAGTTCATTCTCCCAAATGTAGATGAAAATTATTTATAGGTCCTCAGGTTTTGATTGTTTAAATTATAAATATTCCCCAAACAAGCTATTCCCCGAAATAAGTATATAAAAAAATAAATTAGCAGAAACAGCACAAGTCTACACATACTTACATTTCTAATCCAGTGGATGATTAGGTACCTGTCCCCAAATCATCACTGAGGCTTAGGTGGATCAGTGAGGAAGTCTTGTAAAGATCTGCATTTTGACAAACTGTCATAACTATTTAAAACTATTTTACTATATTTATTCATAGCCCCAGAATTGAAAGCTGTGCCACAAGATTCATATTTTTTAATTATGATTTTCAATCCCTTTAACTTTTTTCACTCCCACAGATAAAAGGAAATGATCTGATTTCCTAGATAATGGCTATGGTGAGTTACTTATACTATCATTATTATACTTATATTAACATTATTAAGATATAACAGATGTGTTTATGCTGAAGAGCTCTTTAATATAAGTAATTCCAAGAAATATGTCACCCAGGGTATAGTCACATCCATCAGTTGACTAGCTTTGGAGGTATCATACTGAGATAGTTTTATCGTTAAGTTGTCAAAAATAATACAGTAATGTAGGGCCTTATATTTTCTCTTTATTTGTCTATTTCCTTATTTTTGTCATCCTTTTATATTTTTTCCCAAGTTCCAGCTCCTATGGCTGTCATTAACTGTTTGACTAAGAAAGAAATCATCAAGCATTTATAGAGCCTCAACTGTGTGCCACACAATATGTTGACGAATTTTTCCAAACGTCTCATTTTTTTCAGCTTTACAGTTCTGTGGACTGTAAAATCACTCATTATTTCAAATGAGGAATTTAAAGTTTAAAGAAATAAAGAGTGTTGGTCAAAGTCAAACATGATAAGTTTTAATTATGGTTTACTCCAGACTTTCTGCCTATAAGTCAATCACATCATAGGCACCTATATTAACTTGGGTGCTTTGATAATTTTTTTTTTATTTCTATATTTCTATACAGTGATATGATCTGCTGTGATAGTTGCTTGGTTTTAATTCCTTCTCTCCCCCTTCCTCTTTCTTTCTTCTTTTCAACAATACTGATGTGATAATAAATTTATCTTCAAAATAAAAATCTTTGGCATGTGAGCTTTGGTGAGCATTTAGTGATTTTTATAATGGATTCTTAAAGCATATATATGTGTATATATATATATACACACACATATATATATATACCACAAAACCCCCTTTCTTGATGAGAAAATAAAGTTCCAGAGTTATTTCTACTATCTTAAAGTGATTTTTCTGTCTTCTGAGCATTTAACAGAAATATATTGACTGAATCATATAAATTGTCTACACAGTGGAGTCAGTATTAATATGCAATTTATTATACAGTAGACAAATATTTTTAACATATTGATAGTTTTTTTGAGGTCACACAGAAAGTCTGAATGCCAGTTGCAAACATAGTAAGAAATAAATTTATTTTCTAATCTGACAAAAGTCCATATAGTCAAAGCTATGGTTTATTGAGTAGTCATATATGGATGTGAGAGTTGGGCTATAAAGAAAGCCTAGCGCCAAAGAAACGATGCTTTTGAACTGTGATGTTGGAGAAGATTCTTGAGAGTCCCTTGGACTGCAAGGAGATCAAGCCAATCAATCTTAAAGGAAATCAATCCTGAATATTCATTGAAAGGACTGATGCTGAATCTCCAATACTTTGGCCACCTGATGAGAAGAACTGACTCATTGGAAAAAACGTGATGCTGGGGAAGATTGAAGGCAGAAAAAGAAGGGGATGACAGAGGATGAGCTGGTTGCATGGCATCACCAAATTGATGCCAATAAGTCTGAGCAAGCTCCGGGAGCTCGTGATAGACAGGGAAGCCTGGTGTGCTGCAGACAGTGGGGTTGCAAAGAATCAGACATGACTCAGCGACAGAACTGAACTGAATCTTTCTGTTAAGCACTCATTTATGTTTAATATTGATAAACAATTGTTTTAGATTCTCAGGATTCATGGATTATGTGCTAGCCTGAAAAAGACCATACTATTAAGACAGTTTACTTAAATTTATATAGGTTATGTACTGCCTTAGTTTGTTAGGTGCTATAACAAAATACCACAGACTAAGTAGCTTATACACAATAAATACTGATTTCTTACAGTTCTGGAGGCTGGAAGTCTGAGATCAGTGTGCTATCATGTTAAGTGAAACTTTTCATTGGGTCCTTACATGGCAGAAAAAGAAAGAAGCTATTAGCTACTCAGTCGTGCTTGACTCTTAGTGACCCCGTGGGCTGCAGCCCACCAGGCTCCTCTGTCCATGAGATTTTCTGGGCAAGGATACTGAAATGAGTTGCCATTTTCTTCTCCAGGGGATCTTCCCAACCCAGGGATTGAACCTAAGTCTCCTGCACTGCAAGCAGATTCTTTACTGACTGAGATATGAGGGAGGAAGGGTCCTGGCGTTTCTCATAATGTTATTTAAAAAATTTAATTCAATTTACCAGATTTCCACCATCATGACTTAAACTCCTCCCAAAGATCCTACTACCATCACCTTTGAAAGTTAAGATCTCAACAGATAAATTTTGGTGGCACATAAGCATTCAGACCACAGCAAATAGGCTCAAAACAGCCAGAGGTTTTAAGATTTGTTTTGTTTGCATTATACTTGGTTGCCTATAGGAAAGTTGTTCTACCTGTTTTATTTTCCTTTTGGTATTTTAATTTAATATACTACCATACATTCTAGATATAGTAGAACTACAATGTTCATGGCAAGGTTGTTGTGAGATCAGTTAGCTTATATACACACCAGGATTTCAGCCATGTAGAAATAATTTATTCTATGACAGCAAGATCAGGTTTCGCCTCTCTGTAACAAGCTGTGCTTCCTTTTTAAGCTCTAATGTGCCAGGAGCCGGCACGTGAGATCCCACCCATGACAAGGTCATGAGGGAGAAAACCTGAGGGCAAGGTGGATCAGGTTTCCAGGGATTCCGAAAAGCTGCCCCCAGCGCTCACCTTAAAGATGATATCTGTCTTTCTGATGCTTGCTTCAATAGACTACTCCTTAATTTCTGTGACACAGGCAGAAGGCCTTCCCTGATCTCTTTCCAAATAAGAATCAGTTTAGAACTTTAATAAATAAGTTTCCCTGGTGGTGGTATTTAATGAGATTATCCAGGGTGAAAGGAGTGTTTTAATTTAAACTCCTTTGTTGGTATTTTAGTTTGTTTGGCAAATGTGTTATGCCCTTGGTACTAAAATGCATGATTGCTTATAATACCCTAATCATAAAACAGCATAAAGAACCTGATCACATAAAGGCCCTAATAGGCACAGAGCCCTTCGAGGGTGAGGAAGCCCTATTAGAGAACATAAAGATATTATTCTAAAAGTGGTTATAGTTAAAGATTTAGAAAAATAAGAGTTTAAAACTGTTAATTTTAACCAGGAATGCTAAACAGGGGCTGCCTCTCTGGAGCTGCAGAGTCTTTGTGTGGTAAACCTTTTAGATAAATTTAACTGATAACTTCTGCAAAAGGACTGACCTTTGTGTTCATTAAAGAATAGATTATGGAAAACAGCTTTGCATTCACCTAGGTCATAAAATGTCAATAGGCCCCAAGGCCAGAAGATAATGTATAAGACCCTCATAAACAAAGAAGTATGCAGAAAACACACTGGTTTTGTGAAGAACAAACTGATGTAATGTTAAACTATCTTCCCCTTAGAAATGTACTAATTTAGGGTATAAAAGCCACGGTAAAAAATAAAGCATTGCCAGACTCTGCCAGACCCTGCAAAGACCCCCATCTGGTCATTCTCTCTCTCTCTCTCTCTCTCTCTCTCTCTCTTTCTCTCTCTCCCTCGCAGACTTGGCCCTATCAAGGCTGGTCTCACGTGTCTTCTCTCTCTTCCTCGCTGACGCCGTTCATCCTGAGGGTATCCCCTGGATCCTGCCGAGGCTGGACCCGGCACTAATGGAATCATTTAATATCAAAAGTCTTTTAAAATGTCATTAGTAAATCATAAGCACATAAAATATAAATTTGTCTGTCTCATTTGTGTTTAATCCCCATCTACTAAGTAGATTTCTGGCACACAGTAAAATTTCGATGAAAATTTTCTAAATAAATAATAATTCTGGAGTTTCCAGTTCTGCATGTAAGAAGATTAGAAGACAACACTTTGTCCAACAAGAGTTAAACAACTGAAAAATCTTCAGTCCTTCTAAAATCTCCCAGAGGGATGAGAAAACAAGGGGCAGTACTGCTTACAAGGGAGACCAGATGGACAAATACAGAGACTAGCAACTTCCCACAGCAGAAATGAGGAGAAACTGCTTGTGGGAACCAGTGCCCAAGTAGGAAACCAGAACTGCATTTGCCCTGTTGCTTGAGGTTAGATATGGAAAGTTCTGAGAGTTCATGCTGAATGGGGGCACATCCTAGGAGGGCCCACAACATGAGGTTTACCTCCAGGAGCCCACCAAGGTTCCCATGGTTAACATCAGTAGAAAATTGACTCCTATTTTAGTAAGAGACTTGGGAAAAGAAATACACCAGAGTACTCTTAGCAAGGCGTGCTCTCAGCTGAAACTAGTTCAGCAGAGCCTAACCTGCCTACAGAAGTGTCATCAGATCCTAATTAACTGGGAGAAAGGGAAAAAGCAAACAAAAAACTCAAGACCATGGTAGTCAAACTATCCCACCTAAGGAGAGTGGGGAAAAAAAAAAGAAAAAAAAATTAAACACAAGAATTTTACAGTCCAGAGGCAGGGATAAATTCACTAAAATACTGAGCCTTAATCTCAAGACACAAAATGCTTCCCCTGTGCCTTCACCACAATATTAGAGAAGGTCAATTTACACAGTTCCTTTATCCAATCCATCCTGTCTGGCTATCAAGAAAAATTATAAGGTATAACAGAAAGTCATTTTCAATCAGTTGGTGGTCAAAGTACTGGAACTTCAGCTTCAGGAACAATACTTCCTGAAAAACAGAACTTGAAGGGGCAGAATAAGTCAGAATCAAACATAGCAAGGATGTTGAAATTATTCAAAGCATAATTTAAGACAACTGTGATTTATCCCCTTCATGGATCACAAAGCCAAAGAGGGTTCATAAATCAATGAGTTATGAGCCATGCTATGCAGGACCACCCAAGACAGATGAGTCATACTGAGGAGTTCTGAGAAAAAAAAAAAAAAAAAACCTACTTCTACTGTACTGACTATGCTAAAGCCTTGACTCTGTGGATCACAACAAACTGTGGAAAGTTTTAAAGAGATGAGAAGGCCAGACCACCTTACCTGTCTCCTGAGAAATCTGTATGTGGGTCAAGCAGCAAAAGTTAGAATTGGACATGAAACAACTGACTGGCTCAATATTAGGAAAGGAGTATGACAAGGCTGTATATTGTCACCCTGCTTATTTAACTTATATGCAGAGTTTATCATGCAAAAAACTGGGCTGGATGAATCAAAAACTGGAGACAAGATTGTCAGGAGAAAGAGCAAAAACTTCAGATATGCAAATGACACCACTCTAATGGTAGAAAGTGAAGAGGAACTGCACAGTCTCTTGATATTAGTGAAGAGGAGAGCTAAAAAGCTGGCTTGAAACTCAACATTTAAAAAACAAAGGTCATGGCATCTGGTCCCATCACGTCACGCCGAACAGAAGGGGAAAAAGTGGAAACAGTTACAGGTTTTATTTTCTTGGGCTCCAAAATCATTGTGGATGGTGACTGCAACCACGAAATTAAAAAACATACAAACGAACAAGCAAAACAAAACACTTGCTCCTTGGAAGGAAAGCTATGACAAAGCTTGTGGCTATGCAGTCACTCAGGCCTGTCTGACTCTGCGACTCCATGAACTGCAGCCAGGCAGGGTTCCCTGCCCTTCACCATCTCCTAAGCTTGCTCAAACTTATTTCCATTGACTTGGTAATGCCATTCAACCATCTCATCCTCTGCCATCCCCTTCTCCTGCTGCCTTCAGTATTTCCTAGCATCAGGGTCTTGTCCAATAGTGAGCTTTTCCCAGATGATGACCATGGTGTGGTCACTCACCTAGAGCCAGACATCCTGGAATGTAAAGTCAAGTGGGCCTTAGGAA